GTGTTTGTCGACTGGCACCAGAAGTTCCAGGACATCCTGAACAAGAAGGTGGTGCTGCTGACAGGAGAGACCAGCACAGATCTGAAGCTTCTGGGAAAAGGTGACATCATTGTCAGTACCCCTGACAAATGGGACATCCTGTCTCGTCGCTGGAAACAGAGGAAGAACGTCCAGAACGTCAGCCTTTTCATTGTGGATGAGGCACACCTTATTGGAGGAGAAAATGGAGTAAGAACAATATATAGAGTTATTCTATTGTGCTGTGTTTCAGAGATCTTCATGTGATACATATAAGGTGTGTCCTGCAGTGGTAATTTGTCAATGTGTTAATGTGCCTTGTTTCTCTTCATTAGCCTGTGTTGGAGGTCATTTGCTCCAGGATGAGGTACATCTCCTCTCAGATCGAGCGTCCCATCCGCATCGTGGCCCTCAGCTCGTCTTTGTCCAATGCCAAAGATGTGGCCCACTGGCTGGGCTGCAGCACCACGGCCACATTCAACTTCCACCCCAACGTCAGGCCTGTGCCTCTGGAGCTGCACATTCAGGTCTGTAATCATAGTGCCAGTCAACAAAATGTATTATTTCTAAAATGCAAATGTGCTACATGCACAAAGCTGCCAACAGCCAAGAAATCATAAATGCATGCCAGGTACCTGATTTGCTGTCAACTTTTCTTGTTTCTGTAGGGTTTCAATGTGAGTCACACTCAGACTCGGCTGCTGTCCATGGCTAAGCCGGTATATCACGCCATCATGAAGCACTCTCCCTCCAAGCCGGCTGTAGTGTTCGTTCCTTCCCGGAGACAGACTCGCCTCACAGCCATCGACATCCTCACTTTCTGTGCTGCTGATGTGGTTCCTCAGAGGTCAGTTACCACAGTGGGATTCATGTGTGCTCGATAAAGAATAGACATGGGAGGGATGTTGATGTTACATCTCAACCCTCTGGTCAAAGAATAAACTTTGTCTGTTTGTAGGTTCTTGCATTGCACTGAAAAAGACCTGGCTCCATTCCTGGATAAAATAAATGACTCAACTCTGAAAGAGACTCTGGCCAACGGCGTGGGATACCTACACGAGGGCCTTTCTGCAACTGAGCGCAAAATAGTGGAGCAGCTCTTCAACTCAGGTATGACTCATTCCTCCTCTACACTTCAAGCTTGGTAGTTCGGTAGGTTACAGACTAAACTAAAAGCTTTGGATTTTTATCCTTTTACAGGTGCTGTTCAGGTGGTGGTATCTTCTCGTTCACTCTGCTGGGGCATCAACATCTCAGCACATCTCGTCATTGTCATGGACACCCAGTACTACAATGGCAAAATCCACGCGTAAGTCTCCCGCTACTTTCATGCTGTCATTAGTTTGAAAAGTGTGTGCTAAAATGAATATGCATTGTGTTGGTGACACTCTCCTTCTGTTTTCTCTCTTACACTCAGATATGTGGACTATCCCATATATGACGTCCTTCAAATGGTGGGCAAGGCCAACAGACCCATGCTAGATGACGAGGGACGCTGTGTCATCATGTGTCAGGGCTCTAAGAAGGTAAAAAGATGTGTGGTTTATGTGCTGTCCACTTTTGAAAATGGTGACCAAGGTTAAAGCAACAAATGCCCAACAATAAGAATGAACCAAACTCTTTCTTTGTCTTTTCTCGGTAGGACTTCTTCAAGAAGTTCCTGTACGAGCCGCTGCCAGTGGAGTCTCACTTGGATCACTGTCTGCACGACCACTTCAATGCTGAGATCGTCACGAAGACAGTGGAGAACAAGCAGGACGCTGTGGACTATCTGACATGGACATTCCTGTACCGCCGCATGACACAGAACCCCAACTACTACAACCTGCAAGGTAAGTCACGTCCTTTTAAAGGAAGGAACAGACTGCACTTGTGCTCACTGAGTGACCTCAGACTGGATCAGGTGTTGAGTTTTATGTTCTGTGGTGTCTTTCATTCTGTCAGGCATGTCCCATCGTCACTTGTCCGACCATTTGTCTGAGCTGGTGGAAAACACGTTACACGACCTGGAGCAGTCCAAGTGCATCAGCATAGAGGACGAAATGGATGTGGCACCGCTCAACTTGGGCATGATCGCTGCCTACTACTACATCAACTACACCACTATCGGTTTGTGCCAACACCTGCCTGTCTGTTATTCCTGTCTTACATTCTTCACATATAGAACTGGGTTGAATTCAGACTTAACGGATGTTTTGCCATTGTGCTGACAGAGTTGTTCAGCATGTCCCTGAATGCCAAGACGAAGGTGCGTGGCCTGATTGAGATCATCTCCAATGCTGCGGAGTATAAGAACATTCCCATCAGACACCATGAGGATGCGCTTCTTCGACAGGTAAACAAACCCTACACCAGCAGGACTCAGAGTTCACCTACCCTCTTTATAGCAATACATCTCACAGGCCTGTAAGATTAAATAAAATTTTGTGTACTTGTTTTTCTATTTCAGCTGGCACAGAAAGTGCCCCACAAACTGAACAACCCTAAGTTCAACGATCCTCATGTGAAGACAAACCTGCTGCTGCAGGCTCATCTCTCCAGGATGCAGCTGAGCGCTGAGCTGCAGTCAGACACTGAAGAGATCCTCAGCAAGGTTCAAATTTCTCATGATTTTGACAAAAGCACCAACATAGTCATGTTTGTGGATTTGATTCCAAGGGTGCATATTTATAGAGTGTATTTGTTGTGTTTGTAGGCGATCCGTCTGATTCAGGCCTGCGTCGATGTGCTGTCCAGTAACGGCTGGCTGAGTCCTGCACTGGCTGCTATGGAGCTGGCCCAGATGGTCACCCAGGCCATGTGGTCCAAGGACTCATACCTCAAACAGCTGCCCTTCTTCACCTCGGAGCACATCAAGCGCTGCACAGACAAGGTAAATGTGCTTCATATAAAGTCTGCTTCAGTACTAGTGAGCATGAATCATGTGCAGATTGAAAGTAACCATGTTGTCTGTGCTACTTTCATCAGGGTGTGGAGAGCATCTTTGACATCATGGAAATGGAGGATGAGGACAGAACTGCTTTGCTGCAGCTCTCAGATGGACAGATGGCCGATGTGGCCCGCTTCTGTAACCGCTACCCCAACATTGAGCTGTCATACGAAGTGGCAGAAAAGGACAACATCAAGAGGTATACATCCACTTTGTCAGCAGCATTGCTCTAACTACTGACTGAAAAAATAACACTGAATTGAGTATCAAGGTTTTTGAAGGATTCTACTTTTTAGTTTCCACATGTAAACGTCATATGCTAATTCTAGAAACCTGGATAAGCCCTTACTCTTGTTTTGAGAAATCTAATTATGCTTGTATGGAGTACTCCTAAAGAAACTGACACTGTAGCATGTATACATCTCATCTCGGTTTCGGGCCACTGCCGAATACCTGTGCAGCCGAGGCTTCAGTCAAATGATGTAACTGTTCCCTCAGCTCACAGAACTGCATCATAACAATCTAGCCCCACCAGTCATAGCTGCGTATCCTCATCCACTGCTCCCTTGTCCTAAATAGTTGTGACTCTTTCCTCTTGCTCTCACTCCCCATTGCCAGCAGTAAGGTGGACAAGCCAAATGCACAATTTTGCATTGCAGTTAAATTGTGCTAAGCCTCCTATAAGTCTCTTTTTAAGGCTTATTTAGGCGATTTAAGGCTAAACTAAGAGTTATACAAAATTGTCAGATTGTGTTGTAAACATCACAGGCACCTACACAACATGATATACATACAGGAATATGAATGACCACATATCTCTGTTGTCCATGTAAACAACATATCACCAGTATGAACAAAACTGCAATGTGTTTCATAAACAGGATGCTGAATAACATGTAAACAATCTGCACTTTTGCTTCTTCACAGTGGCAGTCCAGTTCTGGTTCAGGTTCAGCTGGAGAGAGAGGAGGAGGTTACTGGGCCTGTCATTGCTCCACTCTTCCCCCAGGTAAGATCTGTTCTTTGCATCTGCAAGAGTGTCTGTAATATTTTTAGTCATTGCCATATACTGAGCGACTCTCATAAAAATGTTTTTCATTGTTCCAGAAACGCGAGGAGGGCTGGTGGGTGGTGATCGGTGACCCCAAGTCTAACAGCCTCATCTCTATCAAGAGGCTCACTCTTCAGCAGAAAGCAAAGGTCAGTGAGTTGTCTACTGCAAATAATCGGTGGCCAGAAACACTCTTTAAACCACCAGAGGCCTAACTATCGATTGTCTCCCTCCTCTGCAGGTCAAGCTTGACTTTGTTGCACCAGCGATGGGCATTCACAATTACACGCTGTACTTCATGAGCGACGCATACATGGGTTGTGACCAGGAGTACAAATTCAGCGCCGACGTGAAGGAGGCCGACAGCGATGGAGACAGCGACTCAGACTAATCAGTAACTTGACTGCTCCAACCTCCAGCATTTTTTTTTTTGATAAAGAGGGATCAGTAGGGTTTTGTTCCCTTTTTTCTGTAGATATTCAACATGATTTATGTTCCTTCACTTTAAATGTACACGCATCCTGATCACCTCTGCTCTTGTGAAAATGTCATTTTCTTCAGTACAGTTTCTTAGTTTAAATCACCTGAATGATGTACATCAGTCCAGAATTATAGCGTACAGGATCTTTTGATTCACATGTATGACAGATACATCTCAAACTCTACTCAGTTCGATTTAACAATGGCAACCAAAGCTCCAATCTGGGTTTTAAGTGGACAAACTATATAGTAACACTTTGTGCTTAGCGATCTAGTGTCAGTTTTAAAGTCTGACTTGAATTTGTTAAACCATTGGAAATTAAAAAATGCATCTGAAGCTGGTCTGCTGATTGAAGTCAGGGATGGTACAGTCTTATTCCAGATTGACTGTTTAAATTTAAAAGATGACTGTTCAGTTATATTTTGCATTTAAATTGTTATATGTAACTCTTGGACTGGTCTAAATGTTTTTAGTGTGACATACTGTCTGAAATGTGTTTTGCAATAAAGAGAAGCCACATGTTTTTATTTTTCTTTCATATTTATTTATATAAACAAGTCATTTCCATAAATTCTCAATTGAACTGTTACAAAGGAAAATGTACCCAAAGCACAAGATGCAGTGAAGCAGTAATATTAGCATGGAAACATACATGACCGATGACCTCTAACATGTCATACACATAACGTTAGGCAGAATCCTTCTGAGCTATCTGACTAGCTGCACAATTGCCAGTGTAACTTGCAGTAATGAAAAGGGGTTTACTCGCAGATCAGTTCTGTTGATTCAGTGCTCTTCTTGGAACCTCCATATGGCGATCTCTCCGTCGTCACTGCAGGAGGCCAGGAGTCCTGCCTCCTTTGGGTTCCAGGCAACACAGTTAACATCTTGGCTGTGAGCTTTGGTCACCTGAGCAGCCAGCGAGAACACCGGCTCATCTGGACTGGCCGTCTCATCCTCCTTAAACACTCGCACCGCATCATCACCACAGGCGGTCACCAGGGCACCGGTCAGCCGACACCTGAACAGAGATGGACTGTTCAGTTAAAGATGACATTCGAAAACGTGGACCACATTGCATGTGATCATTTTAAAATGTCAAAGTAGGTGAGCTGGTTGAATTGAGTTTTCACATAATTCATAGTTGGAAAAAATATTATGTCAGGTGAACAGTAGGGGTCAAAGGATATGTTTTATTTCAGGCCAAATATTAATTATTAGTAATCAAGGTGACTGATATCTGGAACTATTACACATTTGCAGTTAAAATTAAAATCTTGAGCTCAAATTTACAATGATACAAACTCCTGCACAAAACTTCCTTGAAATTCTGTAAGTTATGTTTTACATATGTTGAGCTAAAAGACAACTTTTCAATATTTATCCTCCACTGCTGATTGGCTGTTGTTGTGACATGTAACCAATCAGGTAGTCCTGTCAAAGAGTAATTCCGTAGAAGTAATGAATTCAATTATTTAATTTTTTATCTGGAAATTAGTTTTTAAAATTATTTGGGAAAATGCTGAACACTGAATCCAATGATTGGTCAGGCTGATAAACGGTCAGTAAAAATCTTCAGTAAGTGTTGACCTGAGTCAGTTTACTCTCATACTAATACTGAGAACTACTGTTTAAATGGCACTTCTTAACACTTAAGCCAGATTTCATCTAATCTGATGGAAAACAAAATGGGATTTTCATGACATGCAGGTAACTTCCAAAACACTTAACCAACAACAAAGCCATAACTCTTATTGATCCACAGATGTCACCAAACCAAGAGTACAAACAGGACGGACAGTGCACTTGACCTTCACATTATATGAAAATGAGATGGGACTTACCAGGCAATATCATACACTGTTCGTCCATGGTACCCAGACAGAGTGCAAACACACTTCCACGGCAACTCTACTTTATACAAACGGAGCACAAAAAAAACATTTTGTTAATGAGATTTGTTTTTTAAATTAGTAACTTGATTTGCAACAGACTAATGCCGTTTCCTGCTAAATGCTCACCCTGTCCACTTTCATTTGAATAGTCCTTCCAAATCTTCACAGTGCGATCATCGCTGCAGGAGGCCAGCCTCTGCCCAGTCGCATCAAAACACAAACTCCAGACTGTGGATGTGTGTCCTTGCAAGGTGGCGCGGCACTCCCAGTCATCATCCTCTTCCTTGTAAACACAAATGTTGTTGTCGTAGCTGGCTGAAGCCAGAAGCTGCGAAGAAAACACAGTAAGATAATAGTGCAGCAGACTGAGAAATCACTCAGGTGCACAGAGCAGAGTGTGACCAACCTCCTGGTTTGGGTGCCACACAACATGCTTGACATCTTGTGTGTGGGAGTTCACAACTGTAACACACTCATACTCATCTTCTTCATCCACTGTGAAACACAAAATGACAGAGATCAGGTTCACACACAAACTGGTGGTTGCATTTAGTGATTTGCAACTCTAAATTAAATACATGTGTCTGAGGTGGTGACATACTACAGTTTATTACAAACCTTCCCAGACCCAGACACTCTTGTCTCGGCTACACGTGGCTAACAGATTTCCTGAGGGGGCCCATGCCACGCATTTGACCTCATTTTCATGTCCTTCCAACACAGTCAAACTCTAAAAAACAAGACGAGAGCCTGGGTAAAACCTACAAAAGGAAAGCATCTTCAAAGTATGCTAATTCATAAACTAAATATGAAACATCTCATCTGACCTCAAAGTCATCGTTCTTCTTTTTCCAGATACATGTGGTTGCATCAAAGCTGGCAGAGGCCAGGTAGTTCCCACAGGGAGACCACGCCACTTTCCTCACGGTGCGCTGGTGTCCATCCTGAAGCACAGTCTTACATACCCAGGAGTCACCTGAAAAAAAAACAGAGTTGGGAAGGCTGTTATCCATCAGAGATTTTGACACTCTATTTATACACATAACCTTTAAATTTTCCTTATAAAAACTACAAACTCTTGCAAAAGTATACTTTCTAATGGAAATATAGACTTAACAGGAGTTATGCAGTAATGTGATGAAATACATTGGTATTCAAGTATTTAATCAGTGAAATCGTCCAAAACAAACATTCCTGTGTGGTTTAATCAGGGATTTCCAGAAAATGTAAAAATGTCTCAATATATAACGACATATAGAATGATAAGTATTTTATTGTCAGCCACACCAAACCTGAAACTAATGGCAAATACTTTATCATTTAAGGAGTCAGAAAAATTAAGCAATGCTTTGATGATATTTCTCCTAAATAGCAGACCAATGTTTCCAAATTGTTCTTAGTCTGTTTTACACATTACATACCAGAAACAACAAATGGGATGGATGTGAAGAGTACTTTCTCAGGATAGAAGTGTTTTCAGGGCTTTGTTTTAGTAAAAAGGCTGACAGGAATTCAAACAGGAATTTAAAGTAATACTGTATGAGAGGTATATTGATCAGTATACGTGTGATCAACCTCTATCAAAAATGGCCACATTTGTGTTTTTTCCCCTTTCATCCATGTCCTGATCATGCCCTGCTCTGACTGGATGTCAATCATATGCATAATTGCAAAAAAAAAAAAGGTTTTCTGTGCACCACCCCAAGATTTTCTGCCTGGATCTATGTCCAGGGCCACAGTATACTGTTTTGTTTTGTTGTTGTTTTTTAAAGCAATGAGTAAAACACACAATGACTTCAACTCATCAGGAACAAGCTGGATGACAATTTAAAAAGAATATAGCGCCTGGAGTTTTGTGTTGTTATACTGCAGTGTTATTGTAATGTTACTGTAATGTTAGTCAGGTTATAGAGAAGCTGTTCTCACTGATCTAAGCATCATTTCAGTGTCTTCAGCTCAATTTGTTGACAGCTCACCTTCTCGACCCCATATCCGGACGGCCTTGTCGCCCCCACACGAAGCCAGCAGCGTCCCGTTGGGGCTCCAGCTGACGAACCAGCACCGGGAGTCCGGATGAGCGCTGAACCTCTGGACCAGAGACAGAGACTCCTTCATACTTCAACCGGGAGATATTTAGCGTCTCTGAACCTCCGTCACGTCTGGCTCCTGTCCGTTACCGCAGACAGTTAGCTGACAGGAAACACTGCGGTGAACAACAACTACTGGCAGCCCGAACAAACAAACAGAGCTGCGGTCCTAAACGGAAGACATTTGTCAACATGAAGACAGGTTTCAAAAAGGAGGAATGTGTTTGCACATAAAGAACAAAGTACAAAAGTTCACAAAAACAGTCGTGTGGGAAGTGCCGCCATCTTTGCCTGTCAGGTGCTGGGCGCGCTGCATTGTGGGTGTTCTCCGTTTTTTTTGTTTTTTGTTTTTTTTTTTACTTTTTTTTTCAAAGATTTCACGAAAACACGTCATTACCTACACTATAGATTTTTTTTTTTTTTTTTTACTTTTTTTTTCAAAGATTTCACGAAAACACGTCATTACCTACACTATAGACATTTTCTCTTGCTAATTTGGTTTTAAAATGTAAAATGCATTTTTGTAAAAGGTTGTAGCACGATATAGAGTGACTTATAAAACTGCTTCGTCTTGTTTTAAACATGGTTTATACATTGTTATAAAAGTTTGAGCTGTATAATTAAGTAATTTATTTAAATTTGTAAGGCTTTTCCTTTGTAGCTTGTAGCTTCCTAGCATACACATATTTAAATACTCTAACTAAGTTTTTGTTTGTTTGTCAACAAACAAACAAAACACCTCCATAGACTTCTTTGAGAAAACAGATTTAAGATTTTAAGACGATGCTGACATCTACAATGAGGGGACTTGTTAAAGAAAAAACTATCACCATCAATAGCATTTGCTTTTATATAAGGACATCAAAATATTTTTTTTGGCTTCAGTGAACATAATTTGGGGATCCAAGACACTCAGTGGGACATTAAGTTTTGTCTATCACCTCTAGACCAAAGATTAGCTCAGATTGTTATAGTTTTAATAGATTTAATTTGACTTTGGTGTAATTTTTCCCCTCACCAGCATCTGCATTTAATCCCCCGGACTATTTGAAGGATTGATCGCCCAAATTAGGCTACTATTAAAAATAATTGTTATTAGAAATTAAAATGAGCATTGTTAACCTACATATATACCAGTCTCACTCCAGCTGGTTGTTAAAAATTGGCAACCCTGGTCTTGCTTTGTGGTTCTCTCTCTCTCTCTTTTTTTTTTTTTGTAAGACACACCTTAAAATATGATTATAGCTGTGTTATGTATCATAAATAAAACTAAATCCAAGGCACACAGTTAAATAACCACCATTGTAGGAAGCCAGCACACACTGTGATATTAAAGTGGATTATGGGCTAAAGGTTGTAAGAAAGTGGGATGACCATACTTTGCGTAGAGCACAGTGTCTCACTTTTAACTCACTTATAACTTCTGGCTTATTTATATCTTCAAAATGGTGCACTTATCAGGATAAAAATCCAAAGATTTGTGGGCTGGGCGAAATCCTCACTGTTTCAAGAGCCTAACAACTTCGCTACTTCATAGTATAGTACTTTCCACCTTTACTTATGTGATTTACAAATTAAAAATATAGCTTTTGTCTAATGCTAATGTTAATATAATAGAAATATGGTAAAATACTGGCGTTAATAATGTAATATAATGTCAGGAAAAAACATATTTGCAGCTGCGTAAGATGTATAAGAAACTTCCTGTAGTCTACCGCTGAATGGTTTTTGATGAGTGACCAGGAGGTGGCGCACTGCTCACTGCTCCTACAGGAGCCACGAAGAAGAATGGTGTGAACAAGGAAGTCAATATTTTAGGGGAAACCAGCGTAAGCTGCCTTTTGTTTTGTTTTGTCTTTGTTTTTCTGTACCAAATTGGTAGTCATTTCCATTGGTGTAGCCACATAGATTAGTTATTAAGTTATAGGTTATCTAATTAATTTCTATTAAGTTGATTTTTTTTCGAAAAGTCGGCGACATTTGGCGTTTACTGTCAGTTAGCTTCTCCTGCTAACAACAGAGCTAGCAGGCCTGAAGGCCATCTGTCCATTGTGTTCCCGTCAGCCAGTTCTCATCCTGTTTTTATCAAACAGCTACTTTTAAGGTCGGACGTCGTTTGGAAACATTGGATACCACCGTGAACAAAGCGCCAGGATCGCTGCCATCCGTTCACCACCGAGATCACGTAAGCTGTACCGGCCATCGAGTTATATTTTGGTCAGTCAGCTGGCTGATCTTATTACCGGAGTGCTGTCAGATAGACTGACAATAAACCGACGCTACAAAACACAGTAAGGAGATTGTGTGACCATGTATGCCCCGCCGGGTTCTACTGTCCCTGGAGGCCGGAGGAGGAGAGGGGGCACCTCCCTGCCCAAGCAGCCGGAGCGCAGCCTGGTGTCAGCTCTACCCGGAGCTCTGTCCATCACAGCGCTGTGCACGGCTCTGGCTGAACCAGCCTGGCTCCGTGTCCATGGAGGCACCTGTCCCAGACAGGAGCTGGGAGTGGCAGATGTCCTGGGGTACATTGACCCCAAGCTTCTGGATGGTGAGGACCAGCACAAGCCCAATAAAACCCTCAGCAGAGATTATTTCACGAGCTCTCTTGTAATACTTTGTGCTGTCTCTGTCTCCACCAGATTACTGTGTGAACCCACAGACCATCTTGCTGCTGAGGGTAATCGCTGCCTTCTGTTTCTTGGGCATCCTGTGCAGTCTGACTGCTTTCCTCTTGGATGTGTTTGGACCCAAGCACCCGGCCCTCAAGATCACACGCAGATATGCGTTTGCACATATTCTCACAGGTATTAACCTTTCTTCCCCCAAATACTTTGTGATGGAAATTTTATATTTTACAGGTTTTCTGCTTACTATTTATTTATTTTTTGCATAGTTCATGTATTGACTGTGTGTTTATTCATGTGACGGTTTGTCTCTCATCCTCTTTTGTTTGTGCCAGAATGCCAACTAGACCCTGAGGCCTTATCTTGTCTCTTCCAAGGCACACACAAATATTTTTCAAAAGCCTTGGACTGTCTAGTTAGTTAACCTTTAGACAAAACTTTTAAAAACCGACCCTTACCTCTATATGCTTGACTGGGAGGAACATGAGAGACAAACTTCCTTATAACGTTGAGTGTGACTGTATAGTTATGGCTCTCGTATTGGGAAGGTGTGAGTTTCATGTGCGTATGTATGGATTATTAGAATAAAGAACTGTGATGGGCTTGCTGTATGTGAATTTATGTATAATTCCCATAAGACTTTGGTCTTTGCCTACTAACTGCTACCTCTGTGTCCCATCAGTGCTGCAGTGTGCCACAGTCATAGGATTTTGCTACTGGGCCTCGGAGCTGATCCTGTCACTACAGCAGCAACACAAAAAGTACCACGGCTCTCTCATATACGTCACTTTTGCCATCAGCTTCTACCTGGTGGCGGGTGCAGGTGGAGCATCTATCCTTGCCACAGCTGCAAACCTCTTGCGCCACTACCCCACCGAGGAGGAGGAGCAGGCCTTAGAGCTGCTCTCGGAGATGGAGGACAGCAGTGAAACTTTTCCTGCCGATTATGACATTGCAAATCAGTTTCAGCCACCACCTGCCTACACGCCCTAATGCCGCCAGACTGGCCTTGCTAACACGTTTCTCTCTCAGCACAGCTATTAGCTTGATGAGCAAAACCCCTCTCTTTATCAAATGGATATCTTTGCAAATACTCTCCGCAACGAACACAGTGCGTGCACAGTTTGTGCACAGGTTCCTTGAATGACAGTGCTTGGGTGCATGAAAGCTTTCTTTGGTGGTGACAGAAATTTAGGAGATAATTCTTACTTTCACCACTGAAGTGGTTAGTGATTTGCATGTAAATGGCTTTTAGGATTTGGTCCTTACATGTAAAGAAAACTAAACTGCAAGGAGTGCTCAACACGGCTCATCACAAGTAATTTGTGAAACGGCCACAGCCTGGTCGATGCCAATTATCGGAACAGGGCTGTCAGCGATTGTGTTGCGCTTGATTGGACGTGGATGTAGCTTTGTAAAGCAGCGATTTGATTTAATTTGATGTGCTTGCCATGTGTATGATTTTTATTTTACTGATACACCATAGATGCAGAAATACACTGACAAGATTGTTTTAGACATTTTATTTTATATGAAGCATCAAATGGACCTTATTTATTGTCTGTGCTGTTCTTTTTGTGTTTCTTTTGCTTTGTTACCCATCTGTCACTGTTATAGTCTTTGTTCACTTCTGTACTTGAAATAACAAGAGAATTGTCATAAGTGTGAGACAGGTCTTAGCGGTTTTAAAAGGATTGCGGCATTCGTTGTGAGTTGAGTGCGAGCGGCTGTGGGGAAAATCAAAACGTTTGTATGTTTCACAGTAAGGATGATATTTAGTAACAAACTTCACCGCATAGGTTGTCACATTTCTTGTATTTGAGTTACAAAAGAAGCATTATTTGTACTTTGTGATTACCATTGTGTGATGGTTTCAGTATGTTTTTTTTCCCTATGCATGAGTTCTTTTGTGTGCAAATGTTAAACTTTGAGTCAGGATCTTATGAGAACATTTCACATAAGGTGCCATCCGAGGCTTGAAATTGTGACAGATGTTATTCTAGTTGGCTGTGTATTGTTCTGTTGATGTCATTTTTCTGCATTTTGTTCCTCAAGCTGTCACTTTCATCACCAGTATGTAAATATTGATCGTTTATACATAAAAAGTGGTCATAATAAAGTAAATGCCATATTTTGCCTGCTGTTTGTCATCTCTAGCTTGACAATGAGTTGCAGATTCTTCACCATCTCTTGAGTAACTTTCCACAGAAAGCAGCCTTGAGGTGAGAGCTGCGATTTTGATTCTGCTGTATATTGAGTTTGACGTTTCCATCTGAGCAGGGTATTTCAGGACGTACCGTCTAGATGTCGTAGACACAACAGGGCATTACAGAGTAAGAGCCTTACAACCTAATGGACTTTAAAGGACGCACGGTATTCCTTGCACTGTATAAATGCATTGTATATACTGCTACCTAATAATATGTTTTAAAAATAAGCGTTTCAAAAAGCTGTGCACAGAAGCAGAATGTTGTGCAAACTAATCAGTCAACTGCCCAAACATGTATAACTGTTTATTGTTTCTGCAAGTTTTTTCATCTCTGCACCACACAAAGAGTTAAATTCTAAATAGGTTAAGATATTTTATGGGTCGAAGGCCGACATGTTTAGATTCGTCTCCAAAGCTGTGGTCCCTCTCCGGCCAACTGACTTAAGTTAATCAGATGAATAAACAAGGTATTAATAGGGAAGAGTGTTCAAGAGGTGAATAGGTTAGTCAAGCTTCTCAGAAAGTACAGTTCACGTCTCAACGTCACTTGGCTACACTCTTGCAGTATATATAGGGACAGCCTCAGTACAATCACTACCTGCCATTGACCAAAAGTCATTACAGGCTCTGTGGCAAACTGTTGCATTATATTTCATTCCTTAAACAGGGAGATTGAAGCGAAATCATGCTGGCAACCAGGACTCTGCTGTCAAAACAAACAATGGCTGCTCTGTTTCGTCAGCCAGCCTGCTTTGTTCACCAGGGTGACTATGGCAACTGGGGAAATACCAACGTTGCAGTGGTAAGTATAACAGATCAATACGTGGCTGGTGATAAGCTATGGACAAATGAGTGTGGGGATGACTGGGATTTGTGAATCGATGTGTTCCAGGTTTTCTCAGGATGTGGATGGTGGGATGGGACTGATGTCCACGAGGGGGTATAGTGAGTATCAGTAGTCCTGATGAGATCAGGAATTTCACATCACTACACTGATGTATCGCCATGCACAGTGAGCTAATTCACAACTCTGTCTTCAGCACCATGTACCACCTGAGCCGTAACGGTGCTCGCTTCCAGATGTTTGCTCCAAACCAGCAGCAGATGCATGTGATGGACCACATGAGAAAGCAACCTGCCACTGGGGAGAACAGGTGGGCTTGTTAGAAAACACTGAAACTCTTTCATACGGTCATAGATGGATCCAGTGACTTAGCCAATCCGGACACCTTCATAGTTTGTTTTTTTTTTTTGTTTTCTGACCACTGCACAGGAACATGATGACGGAGTCGGCTTGCTTCAGCCATGGTCAGGGAATGACGCAAATGCAGGACCTGTCCAAGCTGGATGTCAGCAGCTTTGATGCTGTCATCTTTCCTGGAGGCCACGGAGTCACCAAGAACCTGTGAGGAATAATGAAACATGGAGTAGTCACTGAGATGAGATACAATACAAGCTGGTATGATTATAAATGGAGCACTAATATTAGTTTATAATGCAACTCTTCAGGTCCTCCTTTATGAAGGATGGCAAAGACTGCAAGCTGCACAATGACGTGGAGAGGGTGCTCAAAGATTTCCACCGTTCACGCAAACCTATTGGGTATGTATCATTTACTCAACATTCAGTCCGCTATTACTGAAGCACTGTTTAATTTATGCAACCGAACAATCTGAAGTGCTGAACAATCACTTCAGATTTACTTTTTAAATCCAAACATGAGGCCAAATCGCAGATTGTCACTAATTTGTACTAGACTTTAAAATCAGATTACATTGATTAAACTAGAAAAGCACTAAATTTTTAAATGACGCTGGAGCAGCTGTACAAATTCAGACAATATTGAATATTTAGTTGTTTATTGATGCAGATATGTACATAGGTGTTATCAGGAAAATGTGTTTAAAGTGTGCAAATCACTCAATGCAGAAAAATGTCCCCTGTGTTATGTTATATATCGTTAGATTATTATTACTTGTGCATTAATTTAAAAGCTGGTTGAGGTGGAGCTCATATTAAGCGATTTTGTATCCAACTGTAACAAGCTTTTTTTTCCCCATGATGGCTTATTCTGCTGATTACTTCCCTTATCAGTCAGTTAGTGTTTATTTTTTCAATAAATAGTCAAAATGCCATTTTTTATTTTGTTTTTTTTTAAGTGCATAAAACTAATTAAAAGGAAAAGCAGCAAATCTTTACATTTGCAAGTTGAAGTTATAAAATGTTTTCACATGAAAACTGCTTACAATAACAGCAAAAGAGTTTCCAATATATTTTCTGTCAGTTGAATAATTGATTAAGTTAATCATTGTTTCATTCGGACTTCTATAAACTGTTTGTCAGTTTTATTAATAACAACGATCATATTTTATAAGGCTGCAAGGTGGACCAGTGGTTAGCACCGTTGCCTTGCAGCAAGAAGGTCGCCGGTTCGCGTCCCGGTGAGGATGTGTGGGTTCTCTTCGGGTTCTCCGGCTTCCTCCCACACAGTCCATAAACATGTTGAGGTTAATTGGTGATTGTAAATTGTCCATAGGTGTGAACGTGAGTGTTCTTGGTTGTCTGTCTCTAAGTGTAGCCCTGTGATAGACTGGTGACCTGTCCAGGGTGTCCCCTGCCTTCGCTCTAAGTCAGCTGGGATAGACTCCAGCCCCCCCGTGACGCTAGTGAGGATTAAGCGGTGTATAGATAATGGATTGATGGATGGATATTTTATGAGATATTCATTTAATTTGTGTCCAAACATTTTAATTTATAACATCACTGAAGCTGTCAGGTACATGCAGTGAACACAAAAGTATATTTTATTTGAGATGTAGTGGAGAAGAAGTAGAAAGAGGAGGGACTTAAATAAAGTTCAGGTAACTCGAGGAGAGGTACAATATTTGAGTAGATGTACTTAGTTACAGTACAACTAGTTAGGAGCAATATGAGGTTCATTTGCTTTCATGTAGTTAGAATCATGTTGCCTAAAAAAAACATAAATCTGACTTTGACCACATCTTCTACCACTGAGAATGTGTTATGCCATTAGCTTATTCCAGTGAACAAGGCCTAAAGCTTTTCAACACCATTTTGTTAACACACAAGAATTCTATTTATATTTTCCAACAGCAAAGTACATCAAATGGGCTGAAACAAATATGTTAAAACATCATACTACAGTTTAGTCTGTTCATAAATATATGCAAAAAGGAATAAAATAAAGGTAAAGTGTTGTATGAGCTGCTGAAAAGACCTTTTGTCTTGCACACTGATTGACTGTCTGGTGAAAGTCTGCACACTGGCTCTCACTGATCACAGCAGACAGCAGGTGCAGTAAAAACAGTCTTAAGCTGACAAGTAGCAACTTAAAGGCAGCCAGGACAGGTAAATCCTAACAGTTAAAGCAGGAAGGACAGAATGAAGGCTCCAACACAAAGGCAGCAGTCTGCTAGGAAGTGTCAGAGCCTCTGGTTGCTTTACTAGTGTATGTTCGCTCAAGATGAGGCGATGATCAGCAGCCGTGTGGACAGCTGACAGGGTCATGGAAGGACACGCCTGGTGGACAGGTGCAGAACGGCAGGTCTGAGGTGACACGGACTGCAGGATTACAGGAATTAAAGAGTGGAGTTGGAAACTGAGTAGGAGGAGGAAGAAGGAGGAAGCTTGTCACCATGACAACACAGGGTTAAAACGCATGTTGACTTTTGACCTCGGTCCAAGGGGAGAGTAATCCTTCCCTTTCGTCATTAATTCCTATTGATACTTTGAGCCATTAAATCTGTTTTTGTTTTGTTTTTTTAAATGACAATGCTGCTGTGAAGAGGACTCTTTCACCATAATTTGTTTCACTGTGTGGCAATTAGATAAAAGATCCCCTGTAGCCTTAAACAAGTCTATCTCAGAATTTATTTGGAATTTAAAACCACCAAGAATTCAAAAGGCCTTTTTGGGAGGCCAGAACAAATAGTAAACACCATACTCTGAATACTAGTATTGTTGCAGATAATATTCGTACCACATTATCCTGGAGAACTCTGTAACATGGATGAAAAACATCCTGTTTGGACAAGCCTCATTTTACACAATGTCTTCTCTTCCTGCTCTCCTGACGTGTCCCCAACCTATAATACCTACAATAACAGCCCAGCATTTGAGAATTCCCTCAGGAGGGAGGGGGCACTTTAGAAAGAGAAGATGCTGAATGAAGATGAAGATCTATATAAGAATGGTACTTTTGCTTCATTCACCCAGCTGAAACAGGAATCTATTCTTAGTAACATGCTTTTTTTTTATTTTTTATTTTTTAAATTTAAACAAACTAATTTGGCCCACTTCCCTCATCCACCAAATTAAACAATGGTTAACAACATCCTGGCAATAAATCTACGTGGTAAGGGTGTGGTTACTCAACTGTACGAGTGCATTTCTCGTCTGAGTTGCCCTTCTTTATCTATAATTACAGGCCTCGGGAAAGAGAACCTTAATTTGCAACTGAATGAGGAAACATGGGATTCCATTCTAAAAAAGGTCCACACCTTATTTACTTCCCCTCACCAATGTGGACTCCTACAGTTTCACCTTCATTATACGAAGGAAAAACTATCCAAGATTTATTCTCGGTGCAAAAATGATCCACACACTCTGGACTTGCTCTTGACTTTCTAAGTATTGTACTGGAGAGATGTATTCCAAACGCTCTCAAATGTTTTTGAGATGTCTTTCTATCAGTCATCTCTAACAGCAATGTTTGGAATGGCTGATAATGGAGCTAACCTCCCCCCCAAAAAATCAATAAATTAAATGCTAATGCATTTGCATCTCTGGTTGGTAGACAGTTAATTGTCCTTAAGCAGAAGATGAAACGCTGCTCACCTATACTCAATAGATTAGAGATCTAATGCAGTTTTTGCAACTAGGGAGACGTAGATATCCACACTGACGGGATAAAGTTATAAAGCCAAGAAGCTGTTCGTCACACACATCAAGAATTACAAACCAGATACAACATCCTGAGAAAGACTGTTTATTAACTTGAGTGCTGCTGAAGTGTGCCACAAGTTTGATAGTAGTTTATCTGTTGCAAGCGGCCTTGGCAGAAAGTATTCTGTGTCTACCCTTGGCCTTTTTTGAAAAACAAACAAAAAAACGAAGTATTTTATATATGTCAATTCCTTTTTCCCAGTTGTTTTTGTTTCATCATAATACTTTCTTGTTCGTGCTTTTGGCTGGGATCGGGGTGGAAGGGTAATTGAAATCCTTGTTTTGCCAGCTTAGTTGACATTGTGTTATATTTGTGTGGAAAAAAAGCCCTTCAAAATAAAACGTCAGGTGGGATAGACTCCACTCTTTAATTTGTTTCACTTTTGTTGGATTTAGGAGTGTAAAAGAGAAAATGCATATCGAGTTGCTCCACCACAACCTCAGATTGATAAAAGGATTCACCTGAAACAAGCAAGTTTGCCATTTATCAGCTTATCAAATGCAATTCTTTAAAATGTTATCTTTCCAGCCTGCTTTACTTGGAATCATTTTTGTGGAGTTGAAAGGGCCAGATTTCAAATTCATTGCATCATCAAGGTGTGTGGGCTTACAGACACATGTCACTGTGTTTCTGTGTGGCAGTGGAAAGGTGTCAATGTCAGCAGAAATCAGAAATTTGTTTCTGAAAAATACTCAGTGCAGAGATGTTTCACCCTGATTAAAATGCAGCACGGTTGGCTTATGAGAAAAATAATGAAACTCAACAACATGTCAGCATGTTGTCTTTCTTTTCCTGTGAAATATAAGGGAGACATGGTAGCAGAGCATGACCTACAGTACAGTGTTTTAGTGGGCAGCATGTACTACCCAAATATATAGCATTTATAGGACACACAACTGATTATTTAACTGGTGGTATTATGTCCTCTCAGTTTGATTCGTGCCCATTTTCTGCAGGCAGGTTATTCCTCTGATCTTTCTCCCACATTATTAAAGCAATCTTTATTATCCCTGAGGGGCAATTTATGCAACAGTCAGCAGTACACCACAGAGGTACACAATTACATCACAGTTTCTTTCTACAGTGACACATCAAGTGAAGAGTTTCTTATTTAAAAATATATTTTTCGGGCTTTTTGCCTTCATTTAGAGCAGTAGAGATAGACAGGAAAGGGAGAGAAGAATGGGGAGAGACATGCAGCAAAGGGTCGTGAGCAGGAGTGGAGCCCATGACCGCTGCGTCGGGGAACTATAGCCCCTGTTCATGGGTCACCCACTCAACTAGGTGAGCTATAGAGAGGCCTGTGAAGAGTTTCTTAGTCTTTAAGTTATGAGTAGCAATGTTAAAAATGATCTGAGGTCTCCATAAATTCATATCTACGTTTTTGGCTGTCCCTGGTTTCATTGGGGCCTTTATTCCATCATGATCAGTTTGCCATTTCCTTGACCACGTTGTCTTCTTCTACAGAAACATTAGTCATGTCATGTTTTCAGGAACTTACACGTTACAAACAAGTTATGTAATTCCAGCTTACCACTAGTGGTGTCAGAAATCCCATGAGGTGCACTGTTAGGAGGAATTTACAGGAAGCAGGAAGTCTCTGCCTGGAAGCTGAGGAGACATTAAATATTTAAATTTAGATTTACTGTTTCTCAGAATTGTGGTGATCTTGTCTTTTCAAAGAACTGATTGCATGCTTTTATGGTGTTTTGATGTGATGGCAACTAATCATAGACACCCATCAGTCTGTAGTGTTGCCCTCAGTGACACACCACTGTGTAGCCACTGCTGCATGCTGGGAGAGTCTTTCTTTTCTGGCCATTGAATCTCTCCTGTTTCATAACACTGATCAGTCGCATCTCTCAGTCTCAACCTAATAAAATCTTGTCTGCTCCTGTTTCAGACTGGCCAGCATGGCCCCCCTGTTGGCCTGCCGCGTGCTGCCCAACATCGAGGTGACTATGGGCTACGAGCGGGATGACAGCACTCGCTGGGGGAACTGGCCCAACACAAACCTGGTGCAGGCTGTGAAGAGCATGGGGGCTCGCCACCAGGGCCGTGAGCCATATATATCCTTTCAGAGGTCACCGTAGCTGTAAGTCCAAATCTGTCATTTTGTCATTACAACTCGTGTTTTGTCCTTAACCCATCTTTTACGAAGCCTATGTGGACGAGAAGAACAAAGTGGTCAGCACTCCGTCCTTCATGTGGGAGACGGACTATCACTACCACTATATATTCGATGGTATTGGAAACATGGTCAAACACGTCATGCGCATGTCAACCAAGTGAGGGGACATTTTGAGGCTGGAAAAAGCAGAAAGCTTACTTATATACAACATACACCTCTGTATTATGTTGAATTCTGAACTGAAATAAGTATACACTAATAAATCATATATATGCTTTAGTTAAAGAGCAAACAGCTTGTTGTGTGTGTTTAATTGTAAATGGCTGATGTGGACAAACATGAGCTAAATAAGCAATGAGTCCAGAGAGCAGACCTGCACATCTCTGGAGCTTATGGGTCCTTTTCTATCCACAATGACTTTTCAACAGAAGAAATACTTTCCTAAAGATGACAGGCAGCGATAAATTCATGATGTTTCCTTAAAATAACAAGTCAACCAAAACTCTGATAAAAACCCAGCAACTGCTTTTCATCATTTGTCCCAGTTTTTCTGACGTGTTTTAACTTTGGCATCAAAAGAGTTCAATACATCAGACAAATCTGTGAATATCAGATGGACAAATCAGTGTTTGTGTCTTTAGTCCCAGAGAGGCAATGAGGAGTGAGGAGCTGCACCTTCTATGTAGACATATCTGTGAATCACATTTCATATTGAGATCGTAAATCCTTCAAATAAACCAACATGCTCTATTTGAGATGTTGTGCAACACCTGCTGAGGCCTGATGTAAGACCGTGACTCACCTTTCTCCAGGAGGATTGGCTAACTCGCTACCTACAGCATGTTCCAGGACAGAACCACTCATTGTTTGGTGATGGTGGGTGTCAATACTGAGGAAATCTATCCCAAACCCAGAATATATGTTAAATACGTCCTCTGTGAAGCTGTCCCTTGTTAGTTCCTATTTGTATTTCTGTTTGTTTGCATTTTTATTAAGTTGAGCCCATCATGAAGCACGGAATCAAATTTTAGCATTTTAATTTTATGGCGACCTGTCCAGGGTGTCTCCTGCCTTCACCCTAAGTCAGCTGGGATAGACTCCAGCCCCCCATGACCCTAGTGAGGATTAAGTGGTGTATAGATAATGGATGGATGGAATTTTGTTATGGGACCTCAGTTGCAGATGTTAATTATTTGACTTAATGAAACATAAAATTTCCCCACAGACCTGACAAACAATAAACATTCCTTCATTCAGAATAAAATGATTTATTCATTACAAACATATAAAAATGACAAAAACAACCAGGTGTGGCAAGATATAAAAATTTCCAGTTTGTACAAAGCTTCCAAAGCCATCGTCAGAAATGCATACTCACTCCACGCGAGGATTTTCATCTGGGTTATTTAAGTAAATATAATACAAATGTTGACTCTTCCCAAAGTATAGCTACAAAGATAGTCTTTAAATCTCTGTTTGTCAGGTGACGTACAAAAACAGCTTCTGTCATATTTCAGTAAAAAAACAAAACACGTAGGCTAATGGGCACAAAATTCATAACAACAGACTTGTAATTCAAATACAGAATCAGAAGCCGATGAAATATTCACAGTGTTGCCTTCACATCAGCGATGTGAATTGTAAACATTGTTGCATATCGTAACTCGCCTCAATAAATATACAGAAAAACTCATCGTGTGAGTAAAAAAAAAAAAGTACGAGTGTTCAGTCATATTTAATCTTCTGATCAGTTTTGTTTGATTACAGCTTGTCAGTTGACACCGTCCTCAAGACATTTATAAAAATAAGGCAAGAATTATTTTCCCTGTGTTTCTTATCAAGTTTTACAGTGTTTAGTCACAGAGGTAAAGTTTGACCGATTCAGGTGGAGTAAAGTAGCATTTTCTCATCTGATGAAATGATGAAGAGATGATGAATATACAATACAACAGCAGGATTCATTCACATTAAACTATATATAAACATTTGTACACTTTGAACAAATACTGGGAGGCTGATTAATAAAAGTCTCAACAGGGGGCATGTTACTGGGACAGACAATATGTGGGAAATGATTTCAGGCAACCAGCACGTAAATCACAGCAGCAAGTGAACATTTAAATATGAAAGTTGGGTAATACAAACTGCAGGGAGATTTTCCATGGAATCATCGGAGTTGCGATCTTTAAGTACTATTATTATTGGAGCATTTCTGTCATTTTAAAAGGGAGATGGTGGTGAAGATGCTTCGAGCACTGTTTGATTGGCATCACAGGCAACATTACAGATTCCCACAGACAGATGGCACAGAACTACATAATTGTCATTAGCGTGTCGCAGCTTACAATCTTCATTACGTGCCGCTTTTACAAAGCAGATCTTTCTCAACTCTCATACTGTAAACCTTTCTTAGTCTTCATCAACATTTCATAACTTTGTGCCTGATTGTCAAGGTTTTTTTTTTTTTTTTTTTTAAATCCCAAAATACAGCTGCACAAGCTTCTTGGAAAAATAAATAACTCCCTCTCAGCTTCAATATGCAAAGCACAGTGGAACAAGTACAAGAAAAAGAATAAAACTATAGAGGAGCTTCAGTGTCACATTTGATGGCATGCAGTAGTGCTGTCTTTTTAAATTGCTTCATTTTAGCTTGCTGCAACAAAGGATAGAAACTTTAAACAAGTTCTCCAGTGAGATGTGACAGAGTCCAGGACCACAGTGCTGTTGTCTGTTCATTAAAACTGCTATTTGGTATCTGTCTGAGATGTACCTGTGGAAGACAGAGAGCGGTACAGTGTTAGAGAACAGTCCTAAAAAGACAAAGCGTTTTGATTTAAATTTGAGGAGCACAGGTTTTGTCATGCACAGATTGACTACATGTCTATGATACAGTAGCAGGCAAGAAGAGGATGCAAGCAGGCGAGCAGTGAGAGGTGGAAAAAGGAGGAAAGAGGTGACAGGGCAGGCAGAATTAACGGACCGAGTTCAGCTGCTAGAGCAGCGCTGAGCTGGAGTCAGAGTCTGATTCGTTGCCAGGGGTGAGACTGGGCTCATGGGACTCCTGAGCCCGCCTGTACTCCTGGTACTCCAGGCGGAGAGCGTTGAAACGCGCCTCACTTAGGGAGCGGCTGTACTGGCAGCGAGGTGGGTTGAAAACTGGTGGGCTGACTGAGGGAGACGGGCCTGAGGGGGGGCATCAGGGACAGGAAAGGCATGGATGGGCACGTCATGGGACAAGCTCACAATAATCACAGCACAAGGGCACAGGATGAACACATGCTAGCACCATCACATCAAGCATTACACTCACAATGACACATGCAACATTACAAAAAAATAATAACACATTGAGGGTGTAAAAAGAAATGCTCACCTTTCTGTCGCTGATCCTGGAGGCCACCAGCTTGATCATATCTCAGGTCCCCCCTGCCTCTCCGAAAACCTGTTTGTGACTGATCAAACTTTGTGGCCTCCAGGACCTCTGAGTCCACACAGGCATCAGCAGAGTCCCACTCATAACTCTCATCTACTGATGTGTTCCTTCTAATGAGATACACAAAACAAGTGGTCAGACATCAGCAATCACAAACAAAAACAATGAGATGAATGTTATTTTGGCAAAATAAATAAATCCCTCTGCCAAGAGGACATTCCAGTGTGTTTGCTATTCCAGGTGTGCCGGTGTTTCACCTTTTCGCTCTCCTCTCAGGCAGCTCCATCTCAGCTCTGCGCTGCTCATTTTCCTCTGTAGTTTCTGGGGAGCTGAGCAGTGTGGGAGTGATAGACAGGGACTGTCGGAAGAGACCAGCACTACCCCTACCGCTGCTCTGACTGGCATAACTGGCCCTCCCCCCCTCCCTGATCTCTCTGACCTCCCGGATCTCTGTCTCCCCTCCCCTCCCCATCATCCTGTCTGGCTGTCTATAGCTCTCTCCCTCTCTGGGTGGGAAGGGGGGATAGTAAGGTGAGGGCCAGCTAATGCCCCTGGGCAGGTAGGACCTTGGGGGTCCTCTCCTGTAGTCCATGGGTCTCTCCCCTCTGTGTCCTGGCCAGTGCTGGTACTGGGGGACAGGGATGGAGGTTGGCATGGGGACATATTTATGCTGGGCAGACCTCAGAGTTTCTTGATACGAGGGAGACCACCTGGCAGACTCTGGGAAAACAGTGGCTTGCCGTCGTGGATCGCAGGGTTCCAGCATTGGGGAGACCGAGGTTTGTCTGGGTGGGTACATAGAAGGAGTGAGGTAGGAAGGACTAGCTAAAGATCTTTGTGCGTGATGAGGCCTCTCTAAGCTCCCCATGCTGGGGCGCCTGAATGGGACATACTCCCTCCAAGAAGGACCTGGCCTGGGGAGGGAAGACGGCATGCGACCCAAACTGTAGGACTTCACCCTGACATCTGGGTGTGGGAACTCGTCCCAGTAGCATTTCTCAGAAATATATGCTCTTGGGCTCTCGAAGTGCTCCCACCTCTGTGAGCCTAAGCTGATAGATTTCTTTAGGAAAGGACGAGGCTGTCCCATGCCTGAGAGAGTCCTACACGGGCCTATGCTTAAGGATTTCTTTAGAAATGGCACAGGGGCTTGAGATATTCGTGATGCAATGTTATTAGTCCTGCTGCCCTGAGTAGCTTGTCTTTGGGATTGCTCAGATGAAAACTCACTACTGTCTACAAAACTCTGTGTGTGTTTTGACACTATATCTGCCATGCCTTTAGCTGCACTCATCAAGGTGTGAGCTGACCTAGATGCAAGTCGGGATTCAGGCCTGTCTGTGCTTTTATTCCCAACTCGAATTTTTGTTTTCTCATCATATAGCTGCTTGCTAGTTTTTCCAGGAGCAGGTGAAAATGGTCTCATGTCATCAGGAAATCTAACTCTAGGCTCTGCATAGAGTAGACGTCTATAGCCTTGTTTTTTACTAGCATCAAACGTAGCTTCTGCAGCACCTGCTGAATGAGTTTGTTCAAGGCAAACCTCCTCTTGGTTTGAGCCAGTCTCCCGGTTTTCCTGAACATGAACCTCCCAGTTTTTAGGAACGACATCAGGCTTAGCCACCACTGGTTTATCTGGCTTTAGTTCTGAACTTTGACCAGTGTCGTCTGTGACTTCAGCTTCTTCCACAGGCTCATCCACGCTCATTTCAATGAAACCTGGAAGGCTCAGGTACTCAAGAATTGCACTTGTCTGGAGTGGGGACATTTTGGGAGATGGAGCTGCAGGCTTGGCCTTGAAGGAATCGGACATTCTGGGGACAGAAAACTGAGACTGGTCACTCTCGACCTCTTCTACA